TGTTGTGCCTACAGGTTCATCAGAACACGCAAGCCCCCTCACCACGACAAGGTGACAGTCCATCGAGGGGGACCGGCAACCTTATGCATTTTGTAAAATACAAAATGACTTCTATTATCCCGGGCAATGCCGGGTACCCAAGGTAGTTTGAAATAAAAGCCCTGCCCGTTCTCATCCTAAAATAGTTCAATCTGAGTATATCCAAGTGTGGCTTTAACTTTTCTTCCACCTTCTCAACACTAGGCAAAAAGCTAGGGGAAAGGGGAAATAACATCTCCTTTAACCACAGAACTCCACCATATATTCAGCCCCTTTAATTTCCCATTACAGACAAGGTAGTACAAGTCCCTTCACTTTTATTAACTACAATATCAAGTCACATTGGTTAACAGCAAGTAGGGCTGGCAAGGCCAGTTTGTATTCCTAGGCATGACTGTGCCCTTGTGTTTAGCAAGCTCCAGCATCAGCTGATTCAGTTTAAAAATGAAGTTCCTTCATTGGAAAAGGACAATAGAAAAGACCGGTACAAAAGCCAAAAGGAAGATTTAGGCAACTACAATTAATTGGAGAAGTTTGGAAAGAGAAAACAATGTAACTGTATATTCAGTTCCGCAAGTGATATCCCTGCCCATACCAACAGTGTCTCATTCTCCCCCTCCCTCCCACCTCCCCCAGAAGATCAAAGCAAATGGGTACAACAGGACTTCACTGCAGCGCTGCAGACCAGAATCTTTGAGAGGTTGGTGCGGCTGCTTAAGATATTCTGGAACAAAATTCTCAATTTATAAAACCTCTTTCACTCTAGTGAAGCAACACCTTTTCAAGACAAATACAAATCCTCTTGAGTTTTCTAGAAAAGCTAAAGTGTTCCAGGTGACATTGGGACAAGTCATTTCTAATTGTCTGCTTCTCTGAACTGGTTTGCACATGAAACAGCCAACTCAGGTTTTTCAGTGCCACAGGAACTCTCTGTCCCATGCTCTTCTCCTTTTGTGGGCATCATGTGTGTTCAGGTGAGGACATCAGGCAGACAGCCATCTGAATGGCAAGTACAAAAACTGTCACCAGGACTCCATGGCAAGAGCAGCAGGAACATCCATCAAGACAAGCAACGGCAAGAGATACCTCCAGTTCAGAAAACGATTGTACTTGTTCAGGTGGTGGTGAAAACACAGGAATGGGGTTTGGGAAATCTCCTGCCCAGCCAGCTGGGCTCTTGTCCAACTATCAATCCACCAATAGGTTGCTGTTCGGCAGCATCTTCAGACTGGCTCAGTAACACCCATCTTTCCAAGAGTCATCAGCAGAAACAACAGTGGCCTTTGGAATTCTGTTGGGAAACAAATAAATACATCAGACAAATAGTTATGCAACCGAGTCACTGAGTTTTCCAGGCTGCATAGCCATGTTCCAGAAGCATTCTCTCCTGATGTTTCACCCACATCTATGGCAGGCATCCTCAGAGGTTGTGAGGTTTGTTGGTAACTAGGCAAGTTTATACAACTATCTAAAGGTGTAAAAGGCTATATCAGGCATGGGTGAGCTTCGGCCCTCGAATTGTTTTGTACTTAGGCTGTTAGGAATTGTACGAGTTGAAGTCTAAAACACCTGGAGGGCTGGAGTTTGCCCATGCCCGGGCTATATGATCAGTGAACATGTGATATCTGTTGTTAGAAATCAATTGATATTATGCTACAAGCCAAGCCAACACAGCCAAAGTAATCAAGTACACATTACTGCTCAAATCTTTTTACTAATTGTATTGCCAGCTTTTTGCTCCTACCTCTTGGGTGGCTGGGTCAATTTGCTCTTCAGGGAGGAGGGTCCCCCAACTGATAGTCTACTTTTCGGCAGTGAGTTTTTTGTTCCTCCAGCCATACTGTTGTTTCTGGTCATGGAACCACCACCTGTTGAACCTGGACCAAGCGTTGAAGATGGGAGCTTCCGGACTCGGCCAGCAGTGCTGGCATAGCCAGGGGCTCTCACTGGCTGCCTTGGTGCAAGGAGAGAGTTGGCACAAGAAGCTGCTTTCATTGGCTGTCGAACTGTCAAGGGGGGCTGTCCAGCACCAGAGGAAAAGCGGAGCTTGCTTGGAGCCAGGCCTTTAAACAGAACAAGAGAGGAGAAAACGGTAAGCAAAATAGTAGGATTTTACTGTTACTTTTCAGACCAAATGAACACGAAGGTAACATTCAAAATTACAAGTGAGTTGTTACTACAGTAGAATACAATAACAGGGAAATCATACAAACGAAGTGTCAGAAATATTAAAAATTAACTAGGTATTTTTAATTACAAAAATGTGAATCAAGCACAGAAAGGGTTAAATGGATGTAAAGACTCAGCAAAAGATGCAGTTCTATATAAGCAGGTGTGTCTGTAGCTTAGCAGCCGTCGGTCTGAGGTAAACCTCAGTGGGAGAAAAGTCTGTCTGTGAGGTAAGCCTCACAGTGTGAGGTAGGCCTTAGTTTATGAGAAGGCCAAGTATAAGAAAGGTCTGGTGTGAGAATCTTTGGTGAAAGAAGCCCCAGGTTGTAAATGTGAATAAAACATCATATGTGAAGCTCCAGGGTATAAAGGCTGTTGTGTGTAAAAAGCTACTGTGTGAAGCTTCTGTGTAAGTATGGTCTGAGAGGAAGCTCTGTGAGAGCGAAGGTAGAAGCTGTTTATCTGTATAAGAAAGAAGCCCAGCATGGAAGCGAAGAAGGAAGTGTAAAGGACATTGTGTTGTGGAAATCTTGTTATTGTAAATAGTGCAGCCATATTATTTTACTATAAAGAAAAGCCTCCTATGGAACAGATAACATTGATCTGTACTTGCTTTTGTTCTTTTTATCGCTTTGGGATATTGGTGCTGGGTCATGATGCTGCTAATAAGTTACTCTGCTGTGCATTTATGAGGAGGGTCTTTTGTTAATAAGCCCACTCGCCTAACATGAAAGACAGTAAGAGCCAACAACAGCTCAAAAAGCAGCACTGAAAGTTAACTAATGAAGATGTACACTTGAAGTTAAAATATTAGTAGTTTCACAGAACTTACTGGCAGATGGCTGCTGGATTCTAGAAAGTCTACTTGGAACCTGCAGATCTGACTCCAAGCTGCGACTATTCCTTACTGATTCCAAAGAGCGCAGACCTGTTCTGGCCAAGTTGGGCATGCTGTGCCGCAACTCCTCTGTGAAGGAAATGCAAGTTTAGCGAGGAACCCAACTGCTTCATTTCCTCAACTGCTGAAGCCAGGCATTTTAAAAATACCTTCATTTCCAGAATACTTCAGCCTATCTTGCATAGGACTTTGCAGTGACCTCCGTGGAGGACGGACCTGGGTTCCTCTGCCATAGTCTGTGTTTGTGGAGGGGGACTGGCACCGTGGGGAGCTGAGTGGGGACGGGGAGTATCTGTGGTTACTGTGATAGGAAAAGGAGCAGTCGTCGTCCTCGTCTTCCAAACTGTAGGCATCGAAATCCTGGTCGCTGTAGGTGCCCCTGCGCAAGGAATGCAAGGAAGCGCTGGAGCTGCGGCGGGAAACGGAGGCTGAGCTGGAGGCACAATCCTGACGGAGGCCTAAGAGATTGCCAAAGGAAACAATCACTATGCAATTGTGCTCTGAAGCATTCTTGCCCAACGCTTCTCAGGTGACATGATGCCCACCGTTCAGTCAACATGGCAGGAAACCGCACACATTATTTCGATGCTTTATTACAATACTAATTTGCTAACTAAACTAAAGATGACAGAACTGCACAAAATTAATCAATTTAAAAGAAATACAAATGCTTGGCATTGCAAATCTGAAATGGCAATATTCAGCAAGACGATGTACTCCTCTATAAAACTTACGTTAAGTACCCCCCCCCCCCCCCCCCCCCCCCCCCCCCCCCCCCAGCCCACCTTATGAGTCAGCAGCCATAGTGGGGAAAGACGGTCCTTTCAGTTTATGGTTAGGGTGCATGGCATTTCCACTCATACATCACCAGTAAGCAAAGCTGCCGCAATGATTGTTGAATCCCTCTTGCAGTCTTGCTCATTTATTTATTTATTTATTTATTTACAGTATTTATATTTATATTTTATATTTTTAATGTACTAAACGTACCAAGTTTGTATGAAAATGTGATTTCTATTTCCTGTGCTGGTCTATGACCGAAATAAATGATTTGATTGACTGATACAGTATTTCTGTTCCACCCTTCTCACCCTGAAAGGGACTCAGGGCGGATCACAGAACATACATATGCAGCAAACTTTCAGTACTGCTTTACACAAACAAGACAGATAGAGGTATTGTATCAGCTTTTTCCATCTTTCGGCAACTTGGGAGGCTTTGCACTCGGTTCTGGCTAGCAGGGGCAGAGGGGCGGTGTTTGCTGTCAATTCATCTCTTTGCCGAAAAGCTCTGTTTGTAACTTCCTCCTTTTTTGATTGAATCACCGGCATTCCTTATGGGTGCCTCAAAATACCTATTTATTTACTTACATTTGCTTTCGAACCACTACATAGGCAGATGCTGGGCTCAAGGCCAGGAGCTCACCCTGACCTGGGCTTCGAACTGGCAGTCTTTCAACTGACAATATTTACTGTAGCTAGTGGTTTAACCTGCTGTGCTAAAGCCTGGCCCTTTGGCAGGAGTGGAGAGGAAACATCTTCTTCATCTGCTCCGACAGGAAGCTAACGTAACCTCATTCACTCAATAGGGCTGCTGGCTCTAAAGGTGGCCTGAGTAAGTCAGGCCAGAAGATATTTCTTAGATATACAGATGTAACCAAGTAATCCATGTAGAATATTAGCGAGCAATTTCAAAAGTCTGAAAATATATTCAGCTATATAAATCCATGCATCCCCAATGTAGAAGGAGTAGTAGTAAGCTGCTTGTACATACTCTCCTCTTGCAGGCGGGCCATAACCTGCACATCGGTCAAGTCTTGCAGTTTGTAGCCCATGGAGATGGAGTCATCTGAGGTGCTGAGTTCACTGTCGACGGAAGACTGAGAACTCAATGCTGAATGCATGCCCAAGTAACCTTTAGAAAATAGCACAAAATAGCACGAGTAAGAGCTACCAACTATTTTAAAAATCCATATACAAGCACAGAAGGTAAACAGGTGTGTTTGAATCCACTGATGCAAATATAGCGAAGCTTCTTTTTACAACATCTAAGTGCATCATGAGGATTAACCAGCAACAACTTCAAAGTGACAGAACAGTCAGATTACAGGGGAGAATTTTTACTGGGAAAACAATCCCTTTGCATATATAATTAAGTTAGGAGTTATTGCTTAGAAAAGACTCCTTCTCAGCACATATTGACATGAAATGCTTTGGGAAGAGGAAGAATTATCATTTCTGGAAGATATCACAGCTACATCAAGCAGCTACCTTCATTCTTTGCTGTCTATACATATACACCACACAAACCAACAAAAACACAAATAAGGCCGGAAACCTTGTCAATTAGTTCCAACTAGAATAGACCCATTCAAACCATTGCTGGATATCAAGTCAACATGTATGCAAACGCCACTGACTCAATGAGACTAGTCAGAATGAACATAAATGAACATACTACAGAAGAGAACATTAGGGGGAAATGTAAAGGTATTAGTTGTTGTAAATTAAGTGGGACCTTTTAATGAGTGTGAGTGAAATGTTGCTATGATTTCTTTTATCCCAGATATGCCTCATAACAGTCCTTTTGGCTAAAGAAAAGCATGCAAGCTTATAACGGTTTTATCCAATCATAAAGGCTCTATGTTTCACAGTCCCCTGTGCTGACTTAATGTCTATCTCACTAGGGCAGGTATGGGCAAACTTGGGCTCTCCAGGTGTTTTGGACTTCAACTCCCACAGTTCCTAACAGCCGGTAGGCTGTTAAGAATTGTGGGAGTTGAAGTCCAAAACATCTGGAGGACACAAGTTTGCCCATGCTTGCACTAGGGCCTTTCTAGATCAGTTCCGAGCGCAAGTTCTGAACTTAAAAACCGACAGCACACCAACATCAAATAATGGATTATTTCAAGTATATGTTAAGGAAATTTATCTCAATGACAAGGACAAAGAAAGTGATCTGGTTGAAGCCTTGACTCCAGTGCATACTGCTCACTATTGACTCCAGTTCATACTGTTCACTATTATAGAAAAATATGTGATGGTTAATGTGTTTTCGGAAACTTTGCAAGCAAAATAAGTCACACATTTATTTTATCAACCAGTGACTGCACATGCAAATCAAATCCTCAGGAAACACAGAAGAGCTTTCACACATGCGAGTTAAAACAATAAGTCTTTACGTGACACATAGCATGAGGGCAAATTACCAGAGGAACATCTTACTGTCCTGTGAAAAATTTCCCCCATAGAAATTATTGGGAGTGTTTTGAATTATAACAAACAGGCAAGGAGAACTAAACAAAGGCTTTTCAAAAGCATCAGATAAAGAAAAGACGGCCAACTGAAGATGCAAAATCAGCCTCCCGCCCCTCTCATGCATCTCCCATTCTCTCCACAGGCCCCCACTGCCATGCCATACCTGAGCTGCCACAGGTTAGTAGCGATTTGTTAGTTGATTTGTAGTGCCCAGGAGAGTTTAGTGCACTGCCACAGGACCCTGTGTCTGCATTCAAGTTATGGACACTTGGAGAGGCCAGTGGGCTGCAATACAGGGATTTCCACCTACTGGCTAGAGGAAAATACAAGAAAGCCATCAAATATGATTTCATTAAACACCAAAAAAGAGGGAAGGAGACAGAAATGGTGAATTGGTACTTGTATAGGTAATATATTAGACATGCTCACTCCCTGAGTTTTTGTTGCACTCTAGCTCTGAAACACCTTTTCACCCAGCAGCACATCAGAGACCAGTAATACTATCTAGAAATGTTTATTAATGAAATGTTTATTAATGAAAATAGGTACAAAAGGATCAATTGAACGAAAAATACAAAATAGCAGTAATCCAAAAATAGGTAATACAAAATAGTGCTAATCCAAAAATGGCAAAGTACATAAAGTCAAGGAAACCAGGATCCACAGCAGATATCCAAACATAAATCCATAAACAAGAAAACATGAGCTTCTTTCAAAGCAAAACTTTACAAGACCAAGTCATGAATTAGAACAGGAAACTTGAAACATGAACTTGAGAACTGAGACAGGAAATCATCCTTCACCAACATTGTCTCCTCTGAAAGCCAGAAGCCAAACACCTAATTTAAGCCAGTCCAGGTACCCATGAAAGCATGCCAGACCCCTGGCCAGCAAAACCTTATCTCTGATTCTCTGAGAATGTCTGGTTTGTCTATTTCTCATTCCTTGCCATCCCAAACTTAATCTGGTTCCCTGAGAGAACCCCCATCAGCCCAAGGCAGATTCTCAAGGAAACTTTCACTTTCCGCGCCAGAATCCAAAACATCATCATCTGCAACTGTCTGCAATTCTCTCTCTCTCTGATCGCTCCTAGACTCCTTACCTTGAAATCCAAAATTCCCTCATCATTGGAAACTTCAGAAAAATCCTCTGCTGCTTGCTGAGCTACAACATTTTTGATAGAAATCAATCATTTATTAGAACAAATTAAGACAACTCTCAGTTACTCTCCATAACATAAGATGGTTAGTGCTGTCTGGTAGGCCTGTTTGATCAAGAAAAAATTTGTTTCTAAAATCGATTTGTCATTGGGGTGTTTTTTTGTTTCGATATTTAAAATAATTACAAAACTTTCCAAAAAAAAAGTTTCGGTATTTACGAAATTTCGTAAATATTAACAAAACATTTTGTAAAGATGGGGCCTTTTTTTAAAAATATTTTTTAAATATTTTTTAAATTTAATTATTAAATAATTTAGTAGAATAGGGAGGAGAAATTAAGGGAAGGCAGGCACTCACTCTGGCGGGCCCTCTCGCTCGCCGCTCGCCCTCTCACTCGCCGCTCGCCCTCTCGCTCGCCGCTCGCCCTCTCGCTCGCCGCTCGCCCTCTCGCTCGCCGCTCGCCCTCTCGCTCGCCCTCTCTCTCGCCGCTCGCCCTCTCTCTCGCCGCTCGCCCTCTCTCTCGCCGCTCGCCCTCTCTCTCGCCGCTCGCCCTCTCTCTCGCCGCTCGCCCTCTCGCTCGCTTGCTCAGCCAGCGCGGAGAGAGGAGAGCTCCCAGCAAGCCAGGGGGCCATCTTACGTATTTCCGAAATGGACGGAAATACAAAATTTTTTGGCGCCTGCCGTTTCGATATTTAAAAACCCTTCCGGGTTTGAAAATATGTTTTGTTATCGTTTCGTATATGCAAAAATTAACGAATGTTTAACGAATTAACGAACGAAACCGCACAGGCCTACTGTCTGGGTTTTCAGTGCCCACCTTTTATGATAGTGTATTCAAGGCAACTTAAAAGGTTATACCGAAACAATCTCAGACAGGGGAGACAAAAAGCCATCCAGGTATCTCTCCACATAGAAGAAATCCATAATGTCCTGCCTCCAAAGTCATTCTGAAACCGTAGACTCATGTGACTCCCAAATTCCCTGAAACAATTCTGAGAAGAAACTAATTGTATATACTCACTAGCCGTCCCCTGCCACGCATTGCTGTAGCCCAGTCTGTGTATATGTGTTTTTTTGTGTATATTTGTGTTTACGTGTATAAATGTGTGTATGTGTATATATATATACACACACACGTATTGTTCTGCACATGTGCTGTAATAATTTTTTTTCTATTTTTGGGCTTTTAAAGTCCCTTCCGCTGTGTTTTCCACTGATTTTATGAGTGATGGTCACTCCTTGACCTGATAGGTGTCTTGTGTCCAAATTTGGTGCCAATTCGTCCAGTGGTTTTTGAATTGTGTTAATCCCACAAACTAACATTACATTTTGATTTATATAGTACTAATGTATAAGCCACCTCTATGAACAAGTTGAGGGGAGGATTTGGGGACAAAATTAAAAGTTGAAGAGAAACCACCACTGCAGCCTCAGTGAACCTGCCAACCAACCTATCCTAGCCAGCAAGAACAACTTCCCAGTATGGCACAAGCAGAATAGTACCAGTTCTATGTGACAACATTTAAGGCCAAACTATAAGATACTACAAAAAGATATTCTATGTGAGATATCTATTCTACAGACATTGGGGCCAAATGCAGATATACGTAGGGGGTGACTATCAAGGACCAAAAGAAATGGAGACACGTTATCGTCTTCCTCACCGTGTTCCATTAAGATACTTTCACTATGGAGTTTTAGAAGTCAAGCTACAAATCAGAGAAACCAGGAAAAAAAACACTCTTAAGGTGTTTGCCACGCAGACATCAAAAGAAAAAGTTCACATCATCAGCCACATCTCAGATCAAGTACAACTTAACAGAGTTTAAAGAACAATCAAGTATTATTTTGCGTCATCTTGTCCTTGAAATCCCTCAACTCAGAACTGTCTCTCATGCATAATGGTCACTTAGATTCTTTCAAAGCTAAATAAATGTCTTCTAGAGAGACCAACTCAACCATAAAATGGAAAATGTAAAATATTTCAGTTCCTTTGTTTCTCACATTTTCACCTAAACAACTCAAGATTGAACTGTTGGAACATTCAGGTTTTTTTTTTAGCTAATACACATTTAAAACCATTTTGAAAATGGTGAGATTAACATTTGGCCACAAGCAGCAGGGAATTATACCGCATGTATGCCTCTCTGAGCAGTTTGATATGATGCCAAGTGACAAAACTAGGCTTTGGAGAGACATGTCTTTCTCTCCACTCTACTAACCGCCAGAGCCTAGCCTGTGTTCTGCAGCTGGCTTTATTTAGGCTAAACCACAATGTTGTGCCACGATAAGAGAAAAAAGCTAGGGGGAAAGTAGGGAAGAGGGCAATTCAAAGTCTTAATATAGAAAAACAGGAAACCAAGAGAGAGAGGGAGGGATTAAAAAACCCCTAATGAAGTATTTTTAAACAAATATTGTTAGTCCAGCCAAAACATACTAATGCAAGTCAGCATTGTGGAACACAGATTTTTTTTTAAAAAAAAAAATTAGTACAGAAGTACAACCTAAGAGAAGTCTGGCAAGCATATTTCTTCTATGGAATGATAGCAACTCCAAAAGGTATTCTTTTTGCCACCTTCAGTTTCTTCCATTTCTTGCATCATGTGAAATCCCTGAACTCACATACAGATCAAGAAATTAATATATGAACTATTTCTTTCAATATGCACAACTTTATTTTTCTTAAATTTACTATGTCCAGAAACAATTACAAATCTTTCAGATGCTAATTCTCAGATCCTGATTTAAAGATGTACAAATGAGCTGGTAGTCATTCCCTGCACCCTTCCCCCATTGTCCGCCTGAAATTAATGATTCAGAGAACCCTGGAGTTTAGAGTTGGATGTGGTTCACATGGAGAGGTGGATCTCCAGAAATCTGACTGAGGCACCTTCTGTCAGCATCCATGAAAGAAAAATCCTGGATTTAAGCCACTGAGTAGAGGAAGGAACTGAGTTATGCTTTAATTTTAAGGGTATTTTATTTACAGGGATGGAAATGAATATAAGCTTTGACTGCTTTAACATCCAGTATTTAAAATATTCTGTAATTTTACTACTGTTATGAATCATAATGTAAATATCCGATATGCAGGATGTATTCTCATTCACTGAACCAAATTTGGCACAAATACTCAATATGCCCAAATTTGAATACTGGTGAGGATGTGAGGATGGGGGGGGGGGGGAATTGATTTTGTCATTTGGGAGTTGTATGTACTGGGATTTATAGTTCATCTACAATCAAGGAGCATTCTGAACCCTGCCAACATTGGAATAGAACCAAACTTGGCACACAGAACTCCCATACCCAACAGAAAATATTGAAGGGCTTGGTGGGCTTTGACCTTAAGTTTTGGAGTTGTAGTTCACCCACATCCAGAAAGCACTGAGGACTCAAACAATGATGGATCTGGACCAAACTTGGCACACACAACTCCCATGCCCAACAGAAAATACTGGACACATTTGGTGGGCATTGACTTTGAGTTTTGGAGTTGTAGTTCACCTACATCGAGAAAGTGGTGGACTCACACAATGATGGATCTGGACCAAACATGGCACAAATATTCAATATGCCCAAATGTTAACACTGGTGGAGTTTGGGGAAAATAGACCTTGATATTTGGGAATTGTAATTGCTGGGATTTATAGTTCATCTACCATCAAAAAGCATTACATTTGCATATACTGTAAATGTAAGTAATAAATGATAAAAGCATTCTGAATACCATCACCAATAGAACTGGGCCAATCTTCCCACACAGAACCCCCATGACCAACAGAAAATACTGCGTTTTCTGATGGTCTTTGGCGATTCCTCCCAGAATTCCCAACCCCCAGGTTGAGAAACACTGCTCTTAACGGTAACTAAGTCAATATTTCTATGACATAGCAGTCTGCAGCTCTACCTCTAATGCCGAACTTATTTGCAGTTATTTTAATTATAAAATGCCACTGAAATAATCATAACAGTGAATGAGTATCTCCTGAAGAGTATGAATTACCTTTCTTTAGGAGAACAGTTGAAACAGTGCAATACCAGAAAAGAAAAACAAATTCCCTTGTTATCTGAAGAGCAAATTTTGAAAGCATTCCGCTTTTAAGCGAGATTACTAAAGCTGTTTCCTTAGTGTCATTTGAAAACAGCCATCTTCATCCCAAGGATCTTGTAAACCAACTTGTCTTAAGCAAACTTAGGAAGATTATCTTCAGCCTCTGGTGCTAATGCAATCTGCCTTAAATCCCAGCAATGAAAAAGCCAAAGAGCAAACCAAGAGATCAGGATATAGAGACTGACTAAACATGATCTGTTGCAAGATTTTAATATTGGACAAATACATACAGCTCCATGATTTCAACACAGTATTTAGACTAGAAGGGATTAAACTGTTCAACTCGACTATATTAATATGGAATGTTCATTAAGATAAAAGATGCTAAGCTAAATGATGTAATGCTGATCCTCTTCTTTCTCAGCGGCCACCCAAGAGGAATGGCAATATCCTTCCACACATATGGTCAGCTCACTTACCTTGGTCAAGTCTGGTGATGAGGGTACGGCAAGCAGCTTCTGTTTCCGGATTGGGGTTGTCCAACACCTGTCTACACCATTGCAGGGGAGACTCCTTTTCATCTGTTGATGACTTTCTTGGAGAAACATACAGCCTTAAGCAGAACAATGGGAAGTTAAGGATGTCAGTTCAGCAAATAAAATACATTTCAGCTTGCACATCCTATGAGCCAATTACGAGTTCAGCAAGAATGAAATGTGCATATATATATAGATTCCATGTAGAAAGAGCAACATTCACTACACTATGGATGAAGCAGATGGGCTTACTAAATCAGTTAAGAACTACAGTCTCATATTTCTCACCCACAGTATTACATGAACTGGAAAGATCTGTCAAAACCCAGCAAATGATGGTGCTACCACAACGTAAGTAATCTCACAGTAACTTGTGTCATGTTAACTTGTGGTTAGAAGAGATAAGACATGTTGAAAATGTGTTTCAGTTAATACCAAGAAAATTTTGAAGAGCTGAAACTCAAAATAATCATTGCACAAGGGATTATAAGTATGCACCTCTTCCTAGCAACTGTATTCCATACAAAAAACAAAGGCTGTGTTGGGCATGATTAACAAAAGCCCCTCCCCATAAATGTACAGCAGAATAACTTATCAGCAGTAACATGACCCAGCATCAGTAGCCCAAAGTGATAAAAAGAACAAAAACACACAGACCAAAGTTATCTCTTCCTCAGGAGGCTTTTCTTTATAGCAAAATAATATGGTTGCACTATTTACAAAATCAAGGTTTCCATTATACAAATAAAAGTCTTTATACTTCCTTCTTTGCTTCCATGCTGGGCTTCTTTCTCATACAGATAAACAGCTTTACTCTCACAGAGCCTTTTCTCACACCGAACTAACACAGAAGCTTCACACAGGAACGTTATACACACAGCAGCCTTCACACACCGGAGCTTCACACGAGGCCTTCTCATACCAAGTCCTACCTCACACACTGAGGTCCTCTCACACTGAGGGCTGTCTGACTGGATGCCTTTCTCCCACTGAAACAAACTAACACTGAGGCCCTTCTCTCACAGAGACCTCTCACAGACTGAAGGCTACAAAGCTAAAGGCACACCTGCTTATATTGAACTGCAGCTTTTGCTGAGTCCTTGCATCCATTTAACCCTTTCAGTGCTTGACTCACATTTTTGTAATTAGAAATACCCTAGTTAATATTTAAAATTTCTGACAGGATGTTCTAGAGATGTTCACAAAATCAGTTCCCTCTTGGCCCCAAATACTTCAATTTAATTTTAATATTGTATGTACTTTATGATCAATTCACACATATTGACCTAAATCAAAATGGTAATCCTAATTAGAGTAATTCCATTAAAACTAGTGATAGGGTGCCTCTACACTGTGGAATACAATAATTGGCGACATTTGAACTGCCATGAACTGACACTTGACTCAATGCCATGGAGTCATGGAAGTTGTCGTTTTATAAGGTATTTAGCCTTTTCTGCCAAAGGCTACTGTTGCCTCACCAAACTACAGATCCCAGGATTTAATTATATTGAGCCATGGCCATTAAAGTGGTGTCAAACTGTATTAATTATACAGTATATATCAGGCATGGGCAACCTTCGGCCCTCCAGGTATTTTGGACTTCAACTTCCACCATTCCTAACAGCCTCAGCCACTTAACAGGGTGGGAGTTGAAGTCCAAAACACCTGAAGTGTTGAGACTCAGCATTCTGGCACCATACCTACTACTATGTGTTGTTACTCTGCCTAACCTTGCTTGGATTCCCAGTATCCTGTTTCCCTGCCGTGTTCCTTCGGACCTTGGAATCTGTGTTCCTTGGGTCACGACATGGAGGACCAATGTTTGCCCATGCCAGGTGTAGATGCACAGCTTATGCTACCAATTTTATTTTCTCAGTTAATATATATGAGATTAGTGTAAGTTTTGATTAACCAAGTTCCCACTGACTCAGTAAATCCACTCATTCCAATGGGAATTTAGACCTATGTTATATAATGTGCATGTTTAAAATATTTATGTCCCAAGTAATTATGTAGTAATAAGTCTACACATTAAAGAAACAGTTATTAATGGTCTGGTAACTATGCATAAAACATTCCTGACTCCTCAATCAGGATATCCTGCCAAAGCCTCTCTAATGTTTCTGAGCTCAGCTTCTGTCTACCTCTGAATGATTCAGGGCAGAGCCGGTGTAATTATCTTTTACTCCTTCACAATAAAATCTTAGGCCCAATGGAGCTGTACATTTGTTGGATTGTTTTATGAGTGTTTTCCTCACACCTTTTTAAAATAGTTCTTCTTCCAGAGCAACTTTGAATAATAGTCCAAGTATCTTTTACTTAAACTTTATATTTATAAAAAGTTGCCAACAGTTACAAAGTCCAATTTAATATCTTTGGACTAAGATTAGGATTTCAATTCAAATGTAAAATAGTTGCTTCAGAAATGAACATGATAATCTGGTGCCATTTTAACCATTAATTCTTTTTTATTTAGAATTTAATCCAGAATTCCACAGCACTTACCAGCTATCATCTTCAACACTGCCACTTTCAAGTTCTAATACTTCCACTTCATCCAGAGTTGTCTTGTCCAAGAGGTTGTCTACATCTGTGCTTCCTTCACTCATTCTAAAACCCGGCTCAACATTTTTAGCAGTGAGGTCCTCTACTAGCAGTGTGCTGTCACAATCCCAACTGGAAAAATCATTTGTGTTAGCGTCACTGAACTGCATCTCTGCATTGCTGGTAAACTCTGTCTTGGAAGGTTCTCTCTCGGAGTCACTGGCACAGCTGTGTTGCACTGCTGCATCTACGTCATTTTTTAAGAACTGGCCACTCTCTTCTGATTCTGACCTCATTTTACTTAGTGCCGAATGCAGGTCTGCCACGATCTGTAGTTCCTGCTTATCCATCAGTGTGTTGATGCTATTATTAATTTCCATCCCATTGAGTCTGGAATTGCAATTATCCATTCCAGCGCCAGCTTGGCTCAGCACATTTGCCTCTGGCAAATTTCGAAGACTTCTAGTTCTCAACTGCTGGTTCTGGAGCTCCAGCCTCCTTACAAGTTCCTGCAGTTTTCGGACCTCTTCCAGCTCAGGGCCCACCTGGTCCACCACCGGATCTACGTCTGGACCCATCACAGAGTTCTCTGTTGAACCCCGGCCCAGTTCATTTCCAAGGCTATGGTCCGGCTGAATTACAGGAGCACTCCCAGGAACAACCATTTTCATGGAACCACTGAAGAATCTTGCTAAAGAAATGAATACAAAATACATGGGTTTTTAAAAAGTGAACATACTTAAAAATATACCTGTTCTCCTGAAAACTTAATTATTCAAAGAAACAGCATTGAATGTTTGTCGTTGTATGTTGGAATCCGCCCTGAGTCGCTCTGAGGAGATCGGGCGGAATATAGCTAAAGATAAAGGTTTTCTCCTGACATTAAGTGCAGTCGTGTCCGACTCTGGGGGTTGGTATTCATCTCCATTTCTAAGCCCAAGAGTTGGTGTTGTCTGTAGACAACTCCAAGGTCATGTGCCAGCATGAAGCGTCGTTACCTTCCCGCCGGAGCAGTACCTATTGATCTACTCACATTTGCATGTTTTCAAACTGCTAGGTTTTTATAGTTCATCTGCATCAATAGTATAGTTTACCTGTAGTAGTTACACAGCACAAACTATGTTTCAGACCTGATCAATGCTATGAAAAAAGGATCTAATCTTCATCAAGCATGTAAACAATATTCCTAATTAGTATATACAAAATGCTTTGTAATCTTCCTGTGTCCATGTAGAGCTGCCCACACAGAAATGACTGCAAGAAAGAAGCTTTAATTCTGTGAGGCTAATTTGCAAATGATAAGACCAATTATCATTTGTTAAATATTTCTGGTATAATCAGCAAGAGCTCTAGGCAATATATGCTTAAATCTATGTCATGTTAAAGGTTCAGGGACAACTAAAATCGAATTGATCTTTTGAATACAACTTGGAAGAACTTCTAAATAATCAGCAACACATTTCTGGTGCTCATTTTTTTTTACATTCAACCTCTATAGAATTTAATTTAAAAAGGTCTGTCTCTAATAAAAAAGCCAGTATCTGTCTTTGTTGAAAAATCTGAAATTGCAACATACAGGAGCAGTTGTAATATGCTATACCAGAGCTGCATCAGCACCATTTCAAAGAGGTAATTTTCTTGTATTGAGCTGAGAGTTTGTCTCCATTTGTTCATGTGCACTCTATGAACACAGAGGAAAATCACATGTTGAAGTCAGAAACCATACGAAAAAAAAATATGGAAAAGGTAATTGCTACCTTCCCAAAGATGCACACTGGATCAAAAGAGAATCTATTTCTATGGCCTTTCATTTCATCCTAAGTGATCTGGCAGTGAAAGAAGACCAGCAATTTTGTCACAGAAAAATATATGAAAGTGACCATCAGTGACATTACTGCTCTCTTTCCCTGGAGAAGATGGAAAACATTTTGAATTTGCCTTGTCTCAAGCTATAGAACAACATCCTTGGGTTTCAGTTTACACAATACATTATATTTTGGGACAAGCAGTTATAAATACACATCATATTTTTGTTGGTCTGAAAGCTCAGTTCCCATCTAGAAGCTGAATGGTCATGTTGACACAAGGAAGGGTGTGTATGGAACCACCTTTGTCAATTAACTTTAATCAAAGCACATAAGTATACAAGACAGACCCACATTAAGAATGGTGCCATACAACACACATCCAGTCTCTCATTACCATCATTCCTAATTACATATGCTGTGATCCAAAACGAATACATGAGGAAACACAGAGTAACTCAAGTCATCCTTTCCCATTATTAGTATATTAAATTACCTTTAGACTAGTAAGGCTATGATTAATTTAGCATAAATATATTTTCTATGTTTCCCTGCTCAGGTGTGTAAGTTTTGAGAAATCAAATAGCTTAGTTTCTAAAGTTGTGTTTAAAAACTACAAAATAATTTCACGTCATGAATGTGTAGAAGGGAAGATTGCACTTTGAATGAAAGGCCATCTCTTCGGAAGTGAATTCTAATGCAATGGTTTCCAAGCTTCAGTCCTCAAAGTTTGAAGACTTCAGTTCCCAGGAACCAACACCAGCTTGGTGAACAGTCAGGAATTCTGAGAGGTGAAGTTTAAAACATCTGGAAGACCGAAGTCTGGGAACCACTGCTCTAATATAAAGAACATTGTATGTAACTGTTGATATAATTTTCACTAGAAAGCAGAACCGGAGAAAGCAGTATGCTTATGATTAAACATATATATTTAAGAATAATCAATATTTAGAACAGGCACACATATCTACTATCCAGTCACTGATTACACTATGTAACACATTTTTCCTGGGTTATAAATGTCATTTCCTAAAACATGGAAAAGGTTTATTAAACTGCAGAAACCTTGTTTTTGCAGGAGATCATGGACCACATTTTGCTCTAGTTTTTCAATGGATGTCTCCTCAAGTCTCAACCAATTCAACATAATTTGTGGCAGCCACAAAAACAAAGTTACTGGAGTATAACAACGTCTTTCGAAGTAAGTATTGTACAATTAAACAAGAAATAACACTTTCAAACCAGGAATATTTTTTTTCATATTTTGCTAGTGTTATGAGAACAAGAGATTTCACCAACGTTTGATGACCATAAAACAGCAGTCACCATCTGACTATGAAATGTGCAACTATTCACAGGTAATGCAAGGTATCAGAAGCTCTACAGCACACAGCAAGATTCCCTTTTCTTCATATCTGCCACGAGAAAAACTGTTCTCTTCCCTGGAAAGAAAGATCTCTAGCACTCAAAATGCATCAGGGAACTTTCCAAAGCACAAAAACATACTGAGCTTTCGCTAGGGCATTTAGATCTCTTCTATGGTTTTGGTCTTAAGACAAAACCAAGTGGGTTCTGTCATATATTAAAGAAACAACAACAAATCCAAGCCAACTGTAACAGGGTCTCTGGTTTTTTACTACCTATCAGTGCTGCGGAAAAAAGATCAATTGAGGTAGGTTTACTTTTCTTCAGTCATCACCTCCAGTTCTGCTTTAACCAGACAGCGCTCAACCAAGCAGAAAGGAGTATTCATTTTCCGCTTCATCAATTTCTGTTACCAAAAAGAGGCATCTATCCTCGCTATCCCCCCTCTCTTCTCCAGGACAGGCAAGTTCACTTTTATTTGCTTGGTCCATTCTTATTTGCTCTGCTAATGAGTCAACAGACCCAAGAAGACCAGCCCCAAAGCACTATCGCTTGTAGATGAAACAGTTAATTTCGACATTAGCTTACTTGAGTCCTGAGTATATCCTGCTCATTGTATTAATACTTTGCAACCGTGTTCCGTTTATTTGTAGACTTTGTTTGTTTTTTTCAATAAAAGTTTTTTAAAGGAAAGAATAAGCAAGTTCTCACCAGCCCATATGTCAAGGGAGAGCCTGTCGCAGCCCCAATGGTCTAAATGGAAGTCCTCAAAGGCCAGCAGAGCTGCGTAAAGAAACTCGGAGAAGGAGAACGGTCCAAGATACAACAACCTTTCCAAGAAAAGAAGGAACAAACATCTAATTAAGACAAGAAGAGAGATCTGGAGAAGAAAGCCAAAGCAGTCAAGGACCAATGGAGGTCTTTTTCATTGGGAGAGGATGGGGGCTCCTCTAAGGCCGCTTCCACACAACTGCTTTGAGTCCCATTCGTGGGAGAAAAGTGGGATATATATAAATAAATAAAATCCACATTGAACTGAATTATATGGCAGTGTGGACTCAGATAACCCAGTTCAAAGCAGAAATTGTGGATTACCTGCTTTGATATTCTGGGTTATATGACTGAGTGGAAGAGCCCTAAAAAAAGAAATAGAAGAACAAAGGATCATTTTTATAAGTGAGAAGGAATGATCCCTGAAAAATAGGGGAGGTGGGGGGTGCAATCAAGGCAGGTGCAATCAAGGCAGAAGGGAACTTGTCTAACACACCACACAATTCCAATATTTTGGAACAAAACACTGAACTCCTGTCTCTAGAGCAGTTTCCATCCCTTTCTGCATTTCCTAAAAAAAGTTCAACATTGCAAAAAAAAAAATAAACAAAGAAGGGAGGGAAAGGATGGAAATAGGAAAGAAAAAATACAAAAATATTGGGAAAAGGGATAATAAAAAAGAAAATAGACAGAAATCTGACTTTAAAAAAAGATGAAGAAAGCAGGATGAGAAAAATCGATAGAAATAATCCTATAAATAATCCTATAATAATATACATAATATTATAAAATTGATAGAAATAATACATTTATTTTAAAAATGGATGAAGAAAGCAGGATGAGGTAAACAGATAGGAATAATACTATAAGTAATACTGTCATATAAATAGTAATAATAATATAAAATAGAAATAATACATTCATTTTTTAAATGGATAAGGAAAGCAGGATGAGGAAAATAAAAATAATGCTATAAGTAATACTATAATATAAAAATACAATAAAATAAGTAGAAATAATACATTTTTAAAAAATGATAAAGAAAGCAGGATAAAAAAAATCAATAGAAATACTATAAATAGTAATATAATCATATAAATATTATAAAATAGATAAAAATAATACACTTAATAATGGATAAAGAAAGCAGGATATGGAAAATCAAAGTAGTACTATAAATAATATATTAATATAAATGATATAAATAATACAATAAAACAGATAGAAATAACACATTTGTTTAAAAATGGATAGAGAAAGCAGGATGAGGTAAACAGATAAAAACAATAAGTAATACTATAATATATAATAATATAAATATAAATAATACTATAAAATAGAAATAATGTATTTATTTTTAAAAATGGGTGAAGACATCAGGATGAGGCAAACAGAAATACTATAATATAAATAATACTATTAAAGAGACAGGAATAATACATTATTATTTTTTTTAAATGGATAAAGAAACAGAATGAGGAAAGTAGATAGAAATAACAAGTAACACTATAATAATATAAATAGATAGAAATCTTTTTTAATGGATAAAGAAAGCAGGATGAGGAAAATAGATAGAAATAATATTATAAGCAATACTATAATAATATAAATAGTACTTTAATAATATAAATATTATAAAATAGAATTTTTTTTAAAAATGGATAAAGGCAGCAGGAAGAGGTAAACAGATAGAAATAAGATAAGCAATACTATAATAATATAAATAATATAAATATTATGAAATAGATAGAAATAATACTTTTATTTTTTAAAAAGGATAAAGCAGGATGAGGAAAACAGATAAAAATAATATTATAAGCAATATTATAATAATATAAATAATACTATAATAATATAAATATTATAAAATAGAAATAATACTTTTTTAATGGATAAAGAAAGCGGGATGAGCAAAACAGATAGAAATATTATAAGCAATACTAGAATAATATAAATACTAGAATAATATAAATAATATTATAAAAGATAGAAATAATACTTTTATTTTTTTAATGTATAAAGAAAGCAGGATGAGGAAAGCAGATAGAAATAAGATTATAAGCAATAGTATAATAATATAAAATACTATAATAATATAAATAATATTATAAAATAGATAGAAATAATACTTTTTTAAAAAAAATGGATAAAGCAAGATGAGGAAAACAGATAGAAATAAGATTATAAGCAATACTATAATAATATAAATAATACTATAACTATTATAAAATGGATAGAAATAATACTTTTATTTTTTTAAATGGATAAAGAAAGCAGGATGAGGAAAAGAGATAGAAATAATACTATAAAACATTATAATAATATAAAAATAATAACATAATATAAAATAGATAGTAATAATACTATATCAATATAAATATTATAAAATAGATAGAAATAATACTATAATAATATAATATAAAATAAATTATAGAAATAATACTATAAAACATTATAATATAAAAATAATAACATAATATAAAATAGAAATAATACTATATGAACATAAATACTATAATAACATAAATATTATAAAATAGATATAGAAATAATACTATAAAATAATATAAAAATAATAAAATATAAAATAGATAAGAAATAATAGTATAATAATATAATATAAAATAAATTATATATATATATATATATATATAGAGAGAGAGAGAGAGAGAGAGAGAGATGCATCTCCTGACCAGGGAGGGCCCCCCACACAGAGAAACACATGGGAAATGATGGGGAACAAGCCCTAGAAAGGGAGGGGGGCCTGCCTGTGGGCCTCTCACCTGCTCCATCCCGAAGAGAAGCCCCTTCCCCGCCCCAAAAGGAAGGAGAGGCCTTTCCTTGAGGCGCCAAGCTCTGAGGAGAAGGAGAGAAGGTAAACCGTTGGGAGGCTTCTTCCCTCCACATCCTGCGTGCGCGCGCCCGCCCGCTTCCTCTCCCTAGTTAGTACCTGCCGCGCGCGCTCCCGCTCCTCAGCCGTTTGTTCTGCAGCCGCAGCCGTCTTTTTGTACGAGGGAGCCCAGGCGCGCGCCAGAAAGCGAGCGAGCTCCAATCCCTGATTGGCTGCCTCATTGGCTTTATTTGCATACCGGAGGGGAGGGGGAGGAGGGGAAGGAAAAGAAGGAAGGACCTGAGGCGAGCTCCGCCCCCTTTCCTTTGGATTGTGTTCGTTCTCGAAAAGCAAGCCACGCCCCCCTTCGAAAAGCAAGCCACGCCCCCCTTCAGGCTGCCGAAGAGGTTGCCGAAGAGCGCGCGTTGTGGGCGCTCCTTAGTGCGCCTGCGCAGTGGGGTCTTGTGTGCTTCCAACTTCTCCCAGCATATGATATTATTTATATTATCCAAAGGAGAAGAGCAAACGCTTTTTTTGCACAGTTATACTCCAGTTCACGGGGTGTGTTTCCCGCAGAGAAAAAATGGCATACAAATGCTATATATATATATATATGTGTGTGTGTGTGTGTGTGTGTGTGTGTGTTTATGTATATATGTATGTATATATATACGGAACAACAGACTGGTTCAAGATTGGGAAAGGCGTACGGCAAGGCTGCATCCTCTCACCCAACCTTTTAACTTGTATGCAGAACACATCATGCAATGTGCGGGGCTTGATGAATGCAAAGCTGGGGTGAAAATTGCTGGAAGAAACATTAACAACCTTAGATATGCAGATGACACCACTTTGATGGCCGAAAGCGAGGAGGAGCTGAGGAACCTTCTAATCAAGGTGAAAGAAAGTGCAAAAGCTGGGTTGCAGCTAAACATAAAAAAAACCAAGATTATGGCAACAAGAATGATTGACAACTGGAAAATAGAGGGAGAAAATGTGGAGGCCGTGACAGACTTTGTATTTCTAGGTGGAAAGATTACTGCAGATGCAGACTGTGGCCAGGAAATCAGAAGACGCTTCCTTCTTGGGAGTGTGATGTCTCTACTCTTTACTCAGTCTCAATAAAATAGTAGAGTAGAGACATCAGACTGGCAACAAAGATCCATTGCCTAGTCAAAGCCATGGTATTCCCTGTAGTCACCTACGGATGTGAGAGCTGGACCTTAGGGAAGGCTGAGCGAAGGAAGATCGATGCTTTTGAGCTGTGGTGTTGGAGGAAAGTGCTGAGAGTGCCTTGGACTGCGAGAAGATCCAACCAGTCCATCCTCCAGGAAATAAAGCCGGCTGCTCACTGGAGGGAAGGATACTAGAGACAAAGTTGAAGTCCTTTGGCCACATCATGAGGAGACAGCAAAGCCTAGAGAAGACAATTATGCTGGGGAAAGTGGAAGGCAAAAGGAAGAGGGGCCGACCAAGGGCAAGATGGATGGATGGCATCCTTGAAGTGACTGGACTGACCTTGAAGGAGCTGGGGGTGGTGACCGCCGACAGGGAGCTCTGGCGTGGGCTGGTCCATGAGGTCACGAAGAGTCGGAGACGACTGAACGAATGAAGAACAACAATACTCCAGTTCACGGGGTGTGTTTCCCACAGAGAAAAAAGTCATACAAATGCAAAAGATATATATGTGTGTGTGTGTGCAACCAAAGTTCTCTTCCAGCAGTCACCAGCCATCCCCTCTCCAATGCCAGAGATACAACTTAATGGTGTAACATTAGAAAATGTTGACCATTTCTGCTCCCTTGGCAACCACCTCTCCACCAAAGTCAACATTGACACCAATATAAAATACAACACCGCCTGAGCTCTGCGAGTGCAGCATTTTCCCGAATGAAGCAGAGTGTTTGAGGACCGGGAATCCGTAGAGATACCACGGTGCTTGTCTATAAAGCTATTGTCTTCCCAACCCTGCTATATGCCTGTGAAACGTGGACTGTCTACAGACGTCACATGCAACTCCTGGAACGATTCCATCAGCGCTGCCTCTGGAAAATCCTGCAAATCTCTTGGGTAGACAGGCGGACAAACGTCAGCGTGCTGGAAGAAGCAAAGACCACCAGCACTGAAGCGATGGTCCTCTGCCATCAACTCCGCTGGGCCGCCACGTTGTCTGGATGCCTGACCACCCTCTCCCAAAGCAGTTGCTCTACTCCGAACTTAAGAACGGAAAACGGAATGTTGGAGGACAGGAAAAGAGATTTAAAGATGGGCTCAAAGCCAACCTTAAAAACTCTGGCATAGACACTGAAAACTGGGAAGCCCTGGCCCTTGAGTGCTCCAGCTGGAGGTCAGCTGTGACCAGCAGTGCTACAGAATTTGAAGAGGCACGAGTGGAGGGTGAAAGAGAGAAACGTGCCAGGAGGAAGGCGCGTCAAGCCAACCCGACCGGGACCGCCTTCCACCTGGAAACCAATGCCCTCACTGTGGGAGAAGATGCGGGTCAAGAAGAGGGCTCCACAGCCACCTACGAACCCACAGGAATATTGGAAGAGCATCATACTCGTCCAACGAGGGATCGCCTAAGTAAGTAAGTAAGTAAGTAAGTGTGTGTGTGTGTGTATATATGTATACTTACTTACTTAGGCAATCCCTCGTTTTCCGAGAATGATTGTCTACCAATATTCTTGTGGGTCCGTATGTGGCTGTGGAGCCCTATTCTTGCAAAAGACAAAGAGAGAATACCGTAAAAATTCAGTGCCAAAGAAGGCTCTCCATGGACAGTTTCTGGGAAAAACTGAGAACAAAATTGACAAGGCAAAAACATGGATGTGGCTCTCACGTGGAACTTTGTAAAAGGAGACAGAGGACCTGATTCTTGCACCCCAAGAACAAACCATTAGAACCAATGCCATCAAAGCCAGAATTGATTCCAAGTGTAGACTCTGGAAGCAGACGAAATGATGGATCACATCCTCAACCGCTGTAAGAAGATCATGCAGATGGACTACAAGCAGAGGCATAATACTATTGCTCAGATGGTCCACTGGAACTTGTGCAACAAATACCATCTGCCTGCAACAAAAAACTGGTGGGACCAGAAGCCTGAAAAAGTTACACAAAGTGAACACATCAAACTACTCTGGGACTGCCGAATACAGACTGACAAGAGTTTTGGAGCATAATACTCCTGACCTCAAAATCATGGAAAAAACAAAGTATGGATTTTTGATGTTGGAATCCCAGGTGACAGCAGAATTGATGAGAAGCAACTGGAAAAGCTGACACGATATGAGGATTTAAAGATCGAACTGCAAAGACTCTGGCACAAGCCAGTAAAGGTGGTCCCAGTGGTGATCGGCACACTGGGTGCAGTGCCTAAAGACCTTGGCCTGCACTTAAACACAATCGGCGCTGACAGGATTACTATCTGCCAGCTACAAAAGACCACCTTACTGGGATCTGCATGCATTATTCGCCGACACATCACACAGTCCTAGACACTTGGGAAGTGTGTGACGTGTGATCCAATACAACAGCCAGAGTGTCTGCTGTGGACTCATCTTGTGTTTCAAATAATAATAATAATAATAATAATAATAATAATAATAATAATAATAGCAACAATGCAATTTGAATCTGCATTATATGGTGAGTCTTGTGTAATTTAGCGCAATGCAGTTACAGTGCATTATATAGCTCTACATTAGCCATATAATGCAGTGCAGTTGGGGCCAGCATTTTGTTTGGTTGAGGGGCTTTCCACACAGCCATATAAGCCACAACACCAAAGCAAAAAAATTGGGTTATCTGAGTCCACACTGCCATATATTCCAGTTCAAAGCAGAAAAAAGTAGGATTTTATTCAGCTGTGTGAAAGTGTCATGAGAGTAGAAGCAGATACACCATGAGTACTTTTCAAGATGCATTGCCTAGTATTGGATTTTAGCGTTCAAAAGTTACCTGGGTAGTTGTTTAGGCTTTCAATTTGTAATGCAAATATAATGCATGCCTTAGCTTATGAATGATTAACTAGCCGTGTCTGACTTCCCTATCTCTGAATCTGCACTATGGGAGCCACATTTGAATGTATATTGACATGTCTGTTTTCCAAGATAGCAACCTGCAACTCATTGATAGATCACTTGCTTCGCTTGCAAGAAAATAGCAGGTTCAGTCACGGCATCTCAAGAGATGGCTGAGAAAAAACTGTTCACTTGGAAAACTGGTGTAAATTGCAGCTGGCTGGAGAGTGCATGAATGAATTGTATGGTTACAGTTACAATCTAAGAGTGTAAAACTTTATAAAATATTAAAAAATACTTAATATTAACATTAAATCCAAAAATTCACAAAATTTAAAGCAGGAAGTCCAAATGAGTAAGTTAAAACTTTATCCGCTAAAACCATCCACAAACAGCTTCCTTATTTTTATAGCTGCCGCACAAAACTTAGCCACTCTATAAGTCAGTGTTTCTCAACATGGGGGTCGTGAGGGGGTGTCAGAGGGGTCGCCAAAGACCATCAGAAAACACCGTATTTTCTGTTGATCATGGAAGTTCTTCATGGGAGGTTTGGCCCAATTGTATCATTGGTGGGGTTCAGAATGCTCTTTGATTGTAGGTGTACTATACATCTCAGCAACTACAACTCCCAAATGTCAAGGTCTAATTTCCCCAAACTCCACCAGTGTTAACATTTGGGAGTATTGAGTATTCGTGCCAAGTTTGGTCCAGATCCATCAATGTTTGAGTCCAACTCTCTGGATGTAGGTGAACTATTTATTTATTTTTATTTATTTCGGGTACTTCTACCCTGCCCTTCTCAACCCCTGAGGGGGGACTCAGGGCGGCTTACAAAAAGGCACAATTTGATGCCTACACAAATTACACATACGTACAAAACAGCAGTTAAAACAATTATCACAGTTAAAAACAGTCGGCATATAATACAATCAATAAAACTACAACTCCAAAAGGCAAGGTCAATGCCCACCAAACCCTTCCAGTATTTTCTGTTGGTCATGGGAGTTCTGTGTGCCAAGTTTGGTTCAGTTCCATCATTGATGTAGTTCCAAATGCTCTTTGATTGTAGGTGAACTATAAATCCCGGCAACTACAACTCCCAAATGGCGAAATCAATTTAGTTTGGAGGGTTTCAAATGTGTTAACATTTTTATAAGTGCATACCTGCGCCCCATATAAAAGCTGAGGAATAACTTTTGCTACCAATACCTGGGTAGCA